TTTTTTTTTTTTTTAACTAAAATGATAGCCACTTTTCAATCTTTCTTACACTTGAATATTGTTTGTTGGTTTCTTAAAGGATGTTGATGCTGAAGAGGAGCTCAAAGAAGCTTTCAAAGTGTTTGACAAGGATCAAGATGGCTACATATGTGCTGAAGAGGTGAACTAATTGTCTAACACTAACTAACAAGAAAAAAGAAACTGATCATCATTTCACCCTTTAAAGATTGAAGTTTTAATGTCAAATTTTAAGGTGTCATTGTTCTGTTTTACAGTTGTTAAAAACATTAAAGTTATTTAAGTCAACAAGGTTTGTAGCACAGTTTTGATCTTATCCCTTTCACAATTTAATGTTAGTTTAATAGCTTAAACTCCTGTTATTGGTATACATTATAAGGGAAATGATAAGGTCTCGTTACGGAATCGAGTTTGTAACTGTTAGATCATCATGTAACCGCCAGAGATGGTTGATCTAACGGTTACAAACCCTGACGGAGTGGTTTCGTAACAGGACCGTAGCATCTTCCAGATTATAATTTTTTTAATCACACTGGATGCAGCTTCAGCACGTGATGATCAGTCTAGGGGAAAAATTAAGTGATGAAGAAGTGGAGCAGATGATTAGGGAGGCTGATTTGGATGGAGATGGACAAGTTAACTATGATGAATTTGTCAAGATGATGATGATGATCACTATTTGATAATAACATTGGTTCTCACTTTTTATGTTGTTTTATACAAGTTGCTTAATTGTTGTTTTAACTTGTTTGTTTCAGAAAAAATTAGGTCATTGTATGGCTACTACCATTGTTGAGTAGATTGATTTGTAATTGTATTTTCTTAACTTGTAAAAGGGTAAATGGAAAATTGTACTGCATTGTGAAATTGTTATATCTAATTACAGTTTGCCTGTGGTTAAGCCTGTTTGATTTGCTCATTAATTTCCTTTTATCAACCAAGAGCACTCTGCTAAATGAAATTTGCTAATTTGATCACCATTGCCACTGTACAAAACTTCTAACAAAAACACAAGATAAAACTTGATTCACTTCATCATCATAGCTAAAAGCAGTACCACACATTCGATCACACAAGATTTCGAGGCCATTGTCGTCTAAACATTACTCGAGCACTATTATTATTATTATTATTAAGCTAGAAGATATTCTAGCAAAAATCCAGATTAAATACACATTGGTAGATATGAAGGAGAGCAAAAGTATATCCCATCCCAAACATAGATCAACTTTAGACAATCTGTAATAATTTTAAACCGGAACAGGCTCAGGCAGTCTGCCATTCTCGGTTGGGGCCAAACTGTCATAATATTCAACCAAAACTTTCCAGCCACCCGGGCACATGAATCCATCGGGAGGGTTCTCCCCGTTCTTTGCAAGCGTTCGCATCTGAAGAATATATAGAGCGAGAAATTAATCAAAAAGAATGGGATCAAAACGGGAAAAATGGACGAATAATACACAAAAGAATAGTTTCACCTAATTACAAGAATGGAATTGTCATTCAACATTGAAAAAACCCCCGAAAGGTTAGACAGAATATTAAGTTGATGTTCCTTCTTTATAGTAACTAGTATTAGACCTTTGCACAGATGTAAATAAAGTATTGTAAGTTATTTATATGCATATAATGACTAACTATTTTTCTTTCAATTTTGTAGGCCAATAATTAAAGGAGTTGGAATATTTTTTTTAAATTGTGTTTATCTGATTGGATATAATGTATATTTTGGTACATCTTTTTTTTGTGAATTATTTATTATTTATTTATGAATTTTAAATATGTTTTTTGTTTTAAAAAAAATAATTTAAATATAACCACAATAATAACATTTAATCACATTATACGGTCAACACATTATATGGTCAATTGTCACTAATCAAAAGTTTAAAATGATATTGGTAATTTTGAATTGATTAGTATTGATTATTTAATAATTAAATGAAAAATTAAATACATCAAAAGTAACGGTTTTTGGAGGGAAATTGTTAAATTGCCACATAGGTAAAATTAAATAGGTTT